TTATTTTGATATATCACAGTGAAAGATTTATCGTCCTCTTTTTTTTTTTTTTTTTTTTAAAAAAAAAAAAAAAAAAAAAAAAAAAAAAAAAAAAAAAAAAACCCTCAAAGTATGGACTAAAACTAAACTCCCAACAATGTGGCTACTGAGGCCACCCACTAGGGCTTCCCCGCCCTCCCTTGAGAGCACCATGACTGTCATCCAATTGCCAGGTCAGCTCTGCAGGGACAGGGCCTCCCTGCTGCCTACCTGCCCCAAGCCCTAGACAGCAACAATGACTAAAGGCAAACCTCACAGAGCACGTGTCCCACCCGGGCCAGGCGCTGTTCCAAGTGAATTAAGTGGCTGACCTGACTCTTCCCACACCAACTCTAGCCAGGGCCATGATCAGTCTAGTTTTACAGATGTGGGAACAGCCACCCCTCCCCTCCCCCGGCTCAGTCACCTGACCAAGGTCAGGGAGCTTATTTAAAAGCCAAGGATAAGAAGTAAATCGGGCAGCCTGACCCAGTGCCCTTGTTTTCCTGCCCCTGCGATATCCCACCACTGCACACAAATGACTAAGGAACCCCTGCAAGTGATCGATGAATCAACAAATGAAACTGAGGCAGGGGGTGGTCAGGGAAGGCTTCCCGGAGGAAGTGGGACACGAGCTGATCCTTCACCAAATGGCAACAGAGAGTGTAAAAACTCTACCCTGCTCAGTAGATGGCTGACAGCTGTTACCTACCCTCTAGGTATGGCTCACCCTCCAACTCTGTAGCCTGCTGTGGGCACTAGACATGTATTCTCAAGGCCCACAGACACCTACCACAGGTCACTTTGCCTTCTGATGAAGGCCTGCATGGCTCCTGCTCCTGCTGCTGCTGCTGCTGTGATGAGGCTGCTGGGTCCCCTCTCTGTCGCCGTCTGGCACCATTGCTAGGGCAGCCCTGACTCTGACTCTGACGCTGCCGCTTGGTTGGAGGGGAGCCTGGAAGACAGAGAGGAGCCAGCTCAGGACTAGGGAAACAAAGAGTGCCAAGGTGGGTGCTTGAGCTGAGCACAGGACTCTCCTGGTGCAGTGAGCCCTTGGAGAAGCCCCTCTACAAATGGCGCTGTCTAGAAGAGGCTGCCGCCCACCACTACCTGGAAGGGAACATGGCAGTCTACCACTAGAAGGCCCTTGCAGGTCTGACCCTAGAGAAGCTGGGACACGCTCACTATGGAAGCCGGCATGACATCAGGGCAGCCTTTGTCATCATGAAAAGGAGAAAAAGCAGGGTGTGGTGGCACACGGTGTACTCTCAGCAACTGGAGCAGAGGCAGAAATTAGGAATGCAAGACCCTGTTTCAACCCCACCCCACAAGAAGAAGGGAGGGAGGGGGGGGAGGGAGAGTTTGGGAGATTAGGAGACTGGGAATGTAGCTCAGTGGTAAAGTGTTTACTTAACTTGGCTCAAATCCAGCATCACAAAAAGGGGGCAAGGGCTGAAAGGTGGTTCAGCAGGGGCAAGGGTACTTGCCACCAAGCGTGGAGATCCACAATCAATTCCTGGGACGCACATCATAGAAGGAAAGAACTGACTCCCTAGGGTTGCTCTCTAACTTCCACACACACACACACCATGGCATATGTGCATGCATGGAGACGCACACACACACAAACACATGTTTAAAAAAAAATAGGCTGGAGAGAGGGCTCAGCAGTTAAGAGCTCTTACTACTCTTGGAAAGGATTCAGGCTTGGTTCCCAGCACAGGTGGCTCACAACCACGTATAACTTCAGTTCCAGGGGATCTGATGCCCTCTGACTTCTGTGGGCGCTGAACCACATGGTGCACATAAACTCACATAGGCACACACAAATAAATAAAATAAAATCGACGACCTTCAGCCAGGTGTGGTGGCACATGTCCATTTAATACCAACATGGGAGGGGGAGGGGCAGAGGTAAGCAGATCTCTGAGGGTTCCAGGCCAGACTGGTCTATGTAGTAAAAATCCTGTCTCCAAACAACAACAATGACAACAACAACAACAACAACAACAACAACAACCTTTAAAAGAAAAAGAAGACAAAATAAAATCTTAGGGTCTAACAAGAAATAGGAATAATTTCTGTGATTAATTGTTGAACCTAGAAAAACAGGGCACAGTAGCACATGCCTATATAGCCAGCACTCAGGAAGATCAAGGGGTTCTTGCTTCAGAACTAAAATAAAACCATAAAAGAGGGTAAATGAGATGGCTCAGCAAATAAAAGAGCTTGCTGCTCAAACATGGTGACATGAGTTCAAACCCCAGAACCCATGTAAATGCAGAAAAAAGAACGGACTCTGCAAAGTTGTCCTCCGACCTCCATGTATATGGCACACATCCCTTACCATGTACACATATACATATATAGTAAATTTAAAAAATTTTAAAACAGGGTCCTTCTGCAGCCTTAGCATGCCTGGAGCTCCCTGTGTATACCAGGCTAGTCTCCACCTCACAGAGACCTGCCTGCCTTGAGTAAATAATTTTTTTTTCAAGTAGAGATGGGCTGGAGAGATGGCTCAGTAGCCAAGAGCACTGACTGCTCTTGCAGAGGACCCAGGTTCAATTCCCAGCACCCACATGGCGGCTACAAACCGTCCTTAACTCCAGTTCCAGGGGAATCCAAAGCCCTCTTCTGACCTCCTCAGGTATGACATGGATGCACTCACATACATGCAGGCAATACACTCATACACATAAAATCAAAATAATATACAAAATATTTTTTCAAAAAAGTAGAGATGGGCCGGGCACTTGGGAAGCAGAAGCAGGCAGATCTCTGTGAGTTCAAGGCCAGCCTGGTCTACATAGTGAGTTCCAGGACAGCTGGGGCTACAGGGAGACCCTGTCTCAGAAAGACCAAAAAAAGAGAAGAGTAGAGATGGAAAAACTTACAAAATAAGTATCTAGAGTTTGCAAGAGACTGGGTAAAATAGGAAATAAGAATACGCAAACACTTGTCACTTTTGCAAGATGAAGCACTGAAAGGCACATTAAAAGCAAATGACCTGGTTACAGATGTACCTGGCTGATACTTCATGAAAACCTTTTCTTAATTTTAGTTCTGCCTTGAACTCACAGAGATTGAAGGTGTGCACCACCACGCCTGGCTTCAAAAAAAAAAAAAATTTTTTTTAAAGCTACCAAACCACCATTTATAAAAACTAATGCAATATATGGTTTCGGCAGAGTTCACAAAATGAGGCTGAACCCCCTGGATGACACCAGCTACTGGGGAGAGAATGTGGAGCACTGTCTCATGTACAAGCTATTTAATCACAACACCTTAACAGGAAAGTAATGTCTCTTCAGGGAGCCGGGAGATGGCTCAGTAGATGAAGTCCCAGCTGTTGCACAAGCAGCTCCCCCACAATCCCAGCACACAGGAGGCAGAGCCAGGATTCCTAGAGTAAGCTGGCTAGCTACATTAACCATATCTGTGAGTTCTAGGTTTAGCAACAGACCCTGTCTCAATAAGTAAGACACATGATATCAGCATCTGCTCTCCACAGGTACAAATACACGCGCATGTACATCCATACACAGACAGGCACCCCATGCATACAAACACACATACACACATGCAAGCACACCTATACACAGGCAAAAAAAAATGCTCTTCATAATATACAAATCTGGCAGACAGTGACCATAACAAAGCCATCAAACTTCCCTACTCACTGTGACCACCTCATGACATGCGCCAGTACAGGGAGCAGCACTGACCAAGGAGCATTCCTGCCAAAAATGTGGAACCCGAATCTAATCCACCCCACCTAACTACCACTCCACAGCAAATACAAGGGACAGGGGGACAAGTGACATGACACTATTAGGTAGCCATCAGACACAACCAGAAACAATTGGAACATTGCACACACCAATTAGCATGGGGGGGTTGACAAGCAAACAGAAAAAGACATGGGGCATGGTGCAAGAGTTGTGGTTCAATAGTGTTTAGCATGTAGGAGACACAGGGTTCCAGCTCCAGCAGCAGAAGGAAGGAGAGAAGGCAGGCTGGACTGGTCAGCTGGAAGGTCAGTTTAGTAGGGAGAGGTTTCTATTCTAGATTATAGAGACAAATTATTGTATACAAACTGGGCTTGGTGGCTTGTACCTGTGATTCTAACACTGCAGAGGCTGAGGCATGGTAACTGCCTCCAGTTAGAGGTTAATCTGGACTACATAGTAAGTTCCAGGCCAGCCTGGCATACAAAATGAGATTCTCTCTCCAAAAGACAAACAAACGCCACCAAAAATTATGTTTTAAAATTTCATACATAAGAAGCAACATGAACAGACTCTGAATGGATCTTAAGAGATCTGAAAATGAGTCACTAGGATATGACAGATATCAAAGAATAACCATACTCAGGTATGACAATGCTCTCAAAATGGTACTGTTTGCTAATTCTGGGGTAAATATACTGACGTCTGTAATTTACTATCTAAGGGGTCAACAAAACCCCAGAATTACACATCCATCTAAAGCAAAAGTGGCCAAATGTTGTTACATTGAATCTAAGTGGATATGCTCTCTGCACTAATCTTTCAACCTCTCTGCATGTTGAAATTTTCTGTAATTAAAAATCCGGGGAGGGAGAAAAAGACTGAGGATGCTGTTTGGCGTATAGCAATTAAAACAAAGGCATTCAACATAAATAAATCTCAGAATGTGTCCAGCTGAGACAGTCAGGTGCCTGATGATACCCACAACACGATGCCATTTGAATGAAACATGAGTCCATGTGAAACAACTGTGTTGCTTTGGGACACAAGCTTCCTCCTGTAGCAATAATAAACACTGACGCACTACAAAATAGAGGCAGAATGACCCTTTCAGCCACTTCCTTAATGGGTCAGGGAGCAGGAGGTTAATCAGGGTTTAAAAATTAGATTGGGATTGGGGGATGGAGAGATGGCTCAGCGGTTAAGAACACTGACTGTTCTAGAAGACCCAGATTCAAATCCCAGCACCCACATGGCAGCTAACAACTGTCTATAACTCCAGTTCCAGGGTATCCGATATCCAACAACCTCTTCTGACCTCCGTGGACACTGCATGACACAGGTGCACTTACCTACATGCAGGCAATACACAAATGCACATAAAATAAAAATAATATTTAAAAAAAAAATTAGATAGGGGCTGGAGAGTTGGCTCAGCAATTAAGAGCACTGGCTGCCCTTGCAGAGGACCCAGGTTCAAATCCCAGCACCAACATGGCAGCTAACAACTGTCTGTAACTCCAGTTCCAGGGAATCCAATGCCCTCTTCTGACCTCCACAGGGATTGCATGACACAGGTGCACTTACACACATGCAGGCAATATACTCATACACATAGAATAAAAATAATATAAAAATAAGATATTAGAAAGAAGACAGGAACATTGCTGCCTTGCCCACCCAATGGGCTCACCTGTGTCCCACTTACTCTGCTGAGATTCTGAAGAGCTGCTCAACTGCTGATGACGCTGACAACTGCCCTCTGTCCTTTTGGAAGAAGAGCTGGAATTACCATAGCTGTAGCGCTCGGGGGACACTGGGGAAGAAGGGAAACATGATTCATAGCTTCCTTACCCTCCCAGACACAACCTCCTAATTCCTACTGCTGGAAGAAGGCCTGACCACAGGACGCCTAACTCCATGCCTCAGAGGTCGGACCTGAGCATCTACTCCTCAAAACACCTCCTGCCCAAAGACTGCTCAAATGCCTCCCCAGGCAGAGCACTCATGACCTCCTGGGCTGTGTTCTTTCAGTTATGTAAATCCCTCAGGCTTACTATGGGGCAGGAAAGCTCACAATCCCCCCTCCCCAACCCTGTTACTGCCTCAACCAAGCAGGGGCCAAATAGCCTACACTGGCCACTGCAGCCTGACAACTCTACCTCCCCAGCTCCTCACCTATCAGAACTGTTGCCCTTCCCTTCCAAGGATCAAGGGCCTCAACGCTGGAGACAAGTCAGGCAGGTTTGAAACTGAGTTTGTGACAAGTCAGGCAGGTTTGAAACTGAGTTTGTGACATGTCTTCAAATGGCCTTCTGTGCCTCTGCTTCTGTGAGCCCCCACTTCAAATGCCACCTCTCTTCACTCTGTGGTACTTTCATGTCATTCAGCCTTTTAATGACCTTGTTTATTATTACCTGACTCACTAAATGTAACCTTCATGGGATGGACAGCTTAGCCTTATTTCCTCTGTGGTCAACACGAAGGACGGCGTTCTTACATGTGGCAAGCTGCTTCACTGCTCTGAATGTCGTTTTCCTTGTGCAGTGGGGACAGGAACAGGACTTCCTTATGGGACTACTGGGAGGATATTAGACAGCTCACAGGAAGGATTTACCTCTGCCTGGCATGAAAAGCTCCACAAACAGCGGTCACAATCATTACTAATATGGCCGAATTCCACAAGCTCACTCCGCCCTAAGCCATGCCCTCTCCCTTTTGTGTTTCTCCTTCTGGAAGGGGGGCAGGGGGGACTGGAACTCGCATCAGGGTACCACCGGGGTGGGGGTGCGAGGCCTTCTCCCCACCAGAAGTCTGACAACCTCCCATTCATCCTTACCCGGTCGGCGCCTCTTGCGCGCCAGATGCGGCAGCAGGTCGTGGCGGGCCAGCAGGCGCAGGAGTTGGCTCAGAAGCCGCAGGTTGCTCTCGTCACACTGCCCGCGGCGTTCCAACTCCAGGAGCAGCTCCAGACCGCTGCGGGCGCGGGCCAGGCCTCCGGGGGCGTCGGGGGCCTCGTCCAGCAGGAAAGCCAGGAGCTCCAGTTCGCACTCGCTCAGCTGCCCGCCCACCACCTCGAACATACGGTGAAGCGACAGCATGCCGTAGTAGTCCAAACACTCATCCTCCTCCCAGCTCGGGGCCGGGGTCGGCCCAGACAACGCCATTCCCAGGGGAGGGGTGCGGACCAAGCTCAGAACCAGGGCCTAGAACCCACACGGCGGGGAGGAGGGAGTGGTCAGAGACACCGAGTCCCGGACCGCACACTCACCAGAGCGTGTTCCCCCGCGAGCCTGTCTCCGGGCAGGGCCACCCCCACGCCCCCAACGGTCTCAGCCTCCCCCGGCCCACGGCCCGGAATGGTACCGCCCGAGGTCCCCTAGTAACAGGTCGAGACGCCGGACCCCGCCGGATCCCACCGGACCCCGGCCCCGTAGGGCCGGGCGAGCGCAAACGCCCCTCTCCAGGTGGTACGTTCCGAACTAGCTCGGGCCACACCTAGGGGCGCACAGAGGGGATCGGCCAGAACCACCCTCGCGGCCCTCTCAGAGGACACTTTGTCCACTGCCCCATAACTCTGGGTAGCACTCAACTGTCTAGCAGTACCATTCAGCCAGCCCCCAACGGCCCACCCAAGTGGTACTGTCCAAAAATGACCTCGGCCCCCCCCAGAAGTGAGACGACCGAGCCCAGCCCTGAGCTCCACACAGGTGGTACTGCCTGAATCCGACCCCCTCCAGAACCTGGTGGTCCTGCCCTCCCTCCAGCACCCAAGTGGGTTCATCCCACGCCCACCCCACCAGTCACCCTTAAGGCGTCTCGGGATCCTCACCGGATTCCGGCGTCCGAAGACTCTCGGGCGACGGCCGCAGCCACTTGTTTTGGATCTTTCTGGCACCTTCTCTATTATTACGCCTGCGTCACCTCGCTCCTCCTCCTTCGCTCAACTCGCGCAGGTGCGACCGCCACGCCCCTAAGGCGCAAGCGCAAAAATCAGGCCTCCAAGCCCCACCCATCCCAGGCCGCCGGATCCGCCCCTCATAGTAGCTGCCCAGCTCGCCTATGCTGCGCTTGCGCAGGGCCGGATCCCGGCTGCAGCAAGCACATCCCTGACTTCTTGGTACCGGTATCCCTTGGATCCCACGACACGACCTGTTGGAATTATTCATCCCATTGACTGCATCCCCCTCCTGATCACGACCTAAATGCCTGCGTCGCCACTGCCACCAGCTGCCTGAGCTCAGGACCACAGTCACGACAGTCCAAAGATCCCAGCACCCGCACAACTGCTCTCTCACCTTAATAGTAATCAGAAGCCTCCATCTCAACTGTGCTGTCTCAGATCCTAACTGCTAATCCTCCGTCTTCCCGCCAACACTCGCCGCCCTCCATTTATCATCAATTCTTTGGTCCGATCTGGATCAGGATTCCACAGTCGCATGCATGGGACTGACACTTCCAAACCGCAACACACCCCTCCATCCCTATGTGCACATTCTGAAGATGTCCATCTCGGCTTCCCATCACAGACACCCACGCCCCCCCCCACACACACCCAGGGTTAGGATGCCCTTTCTGGGGCAGGAGAGATGGCTCAGCGGTTAAGAGTACTGGCAGCTCTTGCAGAGGACTCGGGTTCGATTTCCAGCACCCACATGGTGACTAACAACCGTCCATAACTCCATTTCCAAGGGATCTGACAACGGGTGCACTTACATGCAGGCAATACACTCATACACAAAATAAAAATTATATCTATAAAATTATATATATATATATATATATATATATATATTTCCACACACCCGCCCCTCTCTCTCCTCTAGAGAGCACACTATATACCTTTCCACAGCCCCGCCCCTTTCTGCCTTCTAGAGGACCCACCCAGACGCTCCCTCCCTAACCTGCACGGAGGAGAACCTGTCCGGCAAGTTGAGGCTAAGGTGTCTGTGTCCCCCATTTGGGGCCTAGGGCGTGAAGGCCTGACTCAAGGCCAGGGCCCGCACGTGCCTGCTGGTTTCTACCCCCACAATTATCTCTCTGGGAGGCGAGAGACCTGGGTCCTTCCGGGTACGGGCTCAATACTGGCTCTGTTTGAGCCGCAGTAATGATACTGAATTAATTGCTTCCTTTCCCTACCCCTGAAACAGATGGGTGGCAATGGTCCCCAATGGAAACATAGTCCTGAACCGGATACGCAGTGGGCAATCCTTAAATCCGATAGTGAGAGGAAGGGAAAGCGATTTTACCAACTGGGAAGTACTGTGTTGGGTTACAGTGGTAGCACCCACGGTGTATCAGGCCCTGGGCTGAACGCTTCTACCTGCGTGAAACGGCCTCATGTGACTCAAGCCCACTTTATATATGAGCAAAACTGAGGCAGACAGGGGAAAAGTGCCTCAGGTGTGTCTGGCTTCAAGGATTGTGCTCAGAAATGCTCAAGTCTCTTCCGCTCTGAAATGACTGACACCTGTCACTTATACGGCCTCGCTCTAGGAGGGCGTCCACGCCTCTCCGCTGAACTTTCAAGCTCAGCAGAAAAGGAGCGGCCTCGGAGAACTGCGCAGGCGCGGCCCTCGCCCGGGACTCCGCCCACAGGGCGCAGACGTGTGCGTGGAGAAACTCGGAGAGCCCCGCCTGAGGCTCACTACGCAAGCGCAAGGGCGCGTGCCCCGCGCTGCTAACTCTGATTGGTCGCCGCGGGTGAGGGTGCCGCCCAATGGGAGGCGTGGATAGTGAGGGGTCCTGCACGCCTGGAGCCGAGGGTCTGTGTCAAGAGCGGCCGGGGCTGTTGGAGGTAAGAGCGGTGGGTGAGGGCGCCGCGGGGCGGGCAGGGGAGAGAGCGCCGGGCGGAGGGCGGAGGAAGGGGGTTCCGCTGGTGGAAGGGCCTTGGGGCCTGCGCCTGGGGCTCTAGCGGCGCGGGATGAAAGCGAGCGCTCCTTCCTGTGGGCCGTCCTGAGGCGTCGGTGGAGCCCCTGGCGAGGGCACGACCGGGCTGGAACCCCGGAGCTCATCCCACCTCTGCAGGGGGCTCTCAGGCTGCGGAAGAGAGGAGTCTGGTAGGAGAAAAGGGCTGTGTAGCGGGAAAGTTGAACTTTGAGGCCCCTGGTGGAGGGACTTATGGATCTACTCTGTGAGAAGCCCTCAAGCTTCTGAGAGCTTCGTACGAACGAGCGCCTTTCTACAAGCCTCTGCCAAAATCCACCAGCCCCCTGGGAATATGTAAGGTTGGGGAAGAAGAGTACGAACGCGAAAAGGACCAATTTCGGGTGATCTCGGCTACCTTCTAAAGAGACATTTATTAGGATTGTGTCTGTTTTGTTAAGTGGGTTATGAAGGAATTTTGTCTGTTAGATGGGATAGAGTGGTCATAGGGTGGATCTTGCACTGTGCCCCATGCTTTTATGTGTGTGAGCTCGTCCATACTTGGTAAAGTTTATCCATCCACTCCTTCCTTAGTACAAGCCTAGTAGCAGGTTCTGAGCCTAGCCCTAGGGGAGTTGTCTTTCCAGTGGGGATGTAATCAAAGTAAAATGCGACCTCCTCCTTCTCCCCCTCCCCCTCTCCCTTGTCTCCAGGAAAATCGTTATGGAATGGTTCAGAACTTAACTAGGAATTTGGAATTTATAAGAACAGTTTAACTCCGGAGCATTTAGCAATCATGTATTCATGGGTCCTGTTAATACAGCTAAAACAGGACCTTGTGCTGGGCTGTGTAGTGTGGGAATTCACTAAATGAGAGACCTGGGCTGGTAGAGGTGAAGGGTGGTTAAGATCTGAGGGTCCAGCCAGGTGTGGTGATGCAGGCCTCTGATCTCCAGGCTCAGGAAGCAGAGGCAGGCAGATCTCTGTAAGATTGAAGCCAGCCTGGTCTACATAGCAAATTCCAGGCCAGCTGGGACTACAGGGAGGGAGACCTGTCTCTAAAAGACAAAAAAACAAAAAACCCAGGGTTTCACTTCACATGGCCTTATTCATTACTAAATACTCTGTGCACCTACTACGTGCTCAGCATCATTCTTGGATTCTTGGCACTACCTCAGTGAAGCTAAAACTCCTGGGCTCAATATATGAGCAACTTTTTAAAAATATATCTTATTTGTGAGCCAGGAGTGGGTGGTGCATGCCTTTAATCCCAGCACTCGGGGAGGCAGTGGCAGGCGGATATCTGAGTTCCAGGCCAGCCCCATCTACACAGTGAGTTCCAGGCCAGCTGGGGCTACAGGGAGACCCTGTCTCAAAAAAGACCAAAAAAAAAAGGTTTTAATTTTATTCATATTACTGTATTGCCTGCATGTAGGTAGGTGCACCCATGTCGTGCAGTGCTGGAGGAGGTCAGAAGAGGGCATCATATTCCCCTGGAACTGAAGTTACAGACAGTTGTTAGATGCCATGTGCGTGCTGGGAATCGAACCCAGGTCCTCTGCAAGAGCAGCCAGTGCTCTTAACCACTGAGCCATCTCGCCAGCCATGAGCAAATTCTATATGGAGGCTATAAGCTAAATTCCACTAGCCTCTAAACACAAACACAGGAAGTAAAGAGGTAAAGAAGATGGGGATTGGCACTAGGAAGGTAGAAGAACAGGATTAGAAGAAGTTCAAGGCCAGGAGCTGGAAAGATGGTTCAGGGGTTAAGAGCACTGACTGCTCTTGCAGAGGACCTGGGTTTGGTTCCCAGCACCCACATGGTTGCTAATAACCATCCTTAATCCTAGTTCCAGGGGATTTGACCTTAGTGGGCATTGCAGGCATGTGGTACACTAACATACATGCAGGCAAAACACTCATACACATACAATAAAAATAAATTTGAGGGACCGGAGAGATGGCTCAGCAGTTAAGAACACCTACTGTTCTTGCAGAAGACCAGGGTTCGAATCCCAGCACCCACATAGCAGCTAACTGTCCATAACTCCAGTTCTAGGGGACCCGATAGCATCTTCTGTCCTCCATGGGCATGACACGGGTGCACTTACATGCAGGCAATACATGCATACACATAAAATGAAAATAAATTATTTTAAAAAATAAATTTGAATTTTGTGGTGGTGGTGCTGGTGGTCTTTTTTTTTTTTTTTTTTTTTGAGACAGGGTCTCCCTGTAGCCCCAGCTGTCCTGGAACTCACTATGTAGACCAGGCTGGCCTTGAACTTACAGAGATCTGCCTACCTCTGCCTCCCGAGTGCTGGGATTAAAGGCATGCACCACCACACCTGGCCAAATTTGAAATTTTGTTTTAAAAAGTAAGTTCAAGTTAGCTGGGCGTGGTGACCCACGCCTGTAGTCCCAGCACTCAGGAGGCAGAGGCAGGTGGATCTCTGTGAGTTCAATGCCAGCCTGGTCTACATAGTGAGTTCCAGGACAGCTGGAGCTACAGAGAGACCCTGCTTCAAAAAAAGTAAGTTCAAGGCCAGCCTGGGCTACATATAAGATTCTGTCTCAAAAAACAACAACAACAAAAAAAAACCCGAAACTTGAGGCCAGTAAGACGCTCAGTGGGTAAAAGTGCTTGCTGCGCAAGTCTGACAACCTGCATTCAGTCACACAAACCCAGGTAAAGGTGGAAGGAGAGAACTGACTTGACAAAATTGTCCTCTGACCTCCATACATATCTTGCTGTGGCATGTGCTCATGAGCACACAATAACAAAGCAAAAACATAGGGCTTTAGTGAGATAGCTCAGTGAATAAAGACGATTGCCACCAAGCCTGATGGCCTGAGTTCAGTCCTAGAACCCACATGGTAGAAGAAGATCCTCACCTCCACAGGTGTGCCCCCCTAAAATAAAATTTTAAAAAAGTAATAAAATTAAAATACTTTGCTGGGTGTGGTGGTACATGTCAAAATCCCAGTCTTTGGAAGGGAGAGGCAGGTGGATCTCTGTGAAGCTGATAGCCTGGTCTACTTAGTGAGTTCCAGGCCAGCTGAGGTCACAGGGAGACCCTGTCTTCAAAAAAAATGAAAAAAATAAAATGCTTTTAAAAGATAGGGACTGGAATCCTAGGCTTAGGAAGGGTTTGTGGAATGGATTATGACCCCTTGTTGTGTGAAGGGGCTTGGAATAGGTTAGGTTAAGGACAAAGAGCAGAGGAGATAGGACACAGAGTGGCAAATTTGAAAGTGAAAAGTCTCAGGTATGGTAGCACACACCTGTTATCCCAGGACTGGGGAGGCTGAATCCTATGATCACCAGCACTTGAAAGGCAGAGGCAGAAGGATCTTTTCAAAGCCATCCTCTATTACATTAGTAAGTTTGAGGCCAGCCTGAGTCACGCCCCCCCTCCCCCCACAAAAAAAAAAAAGAACTTAAATTCCACAAAGAACTTTCCAAGAGAATTCCAAGTAATGATTCCTGTTAACCTTTACTAAGCACCCGGGCTTTGTGGCCAGTCCTCCTTTCAGTTCCATTTTACACGTGAGGAAACAGGAAATAAAGAGGAGCTCAGATTGAAGCTGAGGGATGTTTAGTTCCCAGTCCTCTCTTAAATACTTCACTGTGTGCGAGCATGGTGGTATACACCTTTAATCCCAGTGCTCAGGAAGCTGAGGCAGGAGGATCTTTATGAGATCAAGGCCAGCCTGGTCTACATAGCAAATTCCAGGCCAGCTGGGACTGCAGGGAGACCTGTCCAAACTTTGCTTTACATGAGAGGAAAGGTGTTGCACAAACTGCACAGGCAGAGGCCAAGGGAGAGATGCAGTATGTTCTCAGAGTGTGAGGGGCTCTGAGACAGGTGGCAGTACCGGAGGCCAGACTGCTGAGTGCTCACTCTCTCCTCTAGAACCTGACTGCAGTGGCGGTGATAGGCAGACACAGAGCATGGAAGACCAAGGGGCAAACACTGGACCAAGATTTGTTGACTGACAGAAGTGATTGACAAGGTGAACAGGGAAATCCTGAGACTTCCCCTTCCCCTTGGGTTCCTGGTGTACCACTGGCTCCTGCCCCTTTGTCCAGGCACGGGAGATGGCAGAGATGGTGGCTGAAGTGGCTGAGTTGCCAACACAGTCACCAGGGGCAGTGGAAATGTTAACACCCATGTCAGAGGAGCTGGCAGAGATGGCCACCGAAGTGACTGAGATGACCTCCGGGGAGGCCCTCGCCTCATCCCTCTTCTTCCAGCACCACCAGTTCATGTGCTCTGAGTGTGGCAGCCTCTACAACACCCTAGAGGAAGTCCTCGCCCACCAGGAACAGCATCTGCTCATCATGTCAGAGGAGGAGGCGCTGACCACACAGGACATGGGCCTGGAGCCGGAACTCATTGTGCCTGGCACTGGAGAGGGACCTTTCCAGTGTGGCGAATGCAGCCAGCTCATCCTTTCTCCCAGTGAGCTCCTGGCCCACCAAGATGCCCACCTGCAGGAGTCTGCAAGCCAGATCCAGTACCAGTGTGGAGACTGCCAGGAGCTCTTCCCCTCACCTGAGCTGTGGGTAGCTCACCGCAAGACTCAGCACCTTCAGGGTACAGATGAGCCACCAGCGCCACCTCCTTTGCCTCCCCCAACACCACCACCTCCACCACCAGAAGTCAAGATGGAGCCCTACGAGTGTCCTGAGTGTTCCACCCTCTGTGCCACCCCTGAGGAGTTCTTGGAGCATCAGGGCACACACTTTGACTCTCTGGAGAAAGAAGAGTGCAATGGATTAGCAGAGGAAGAGGAGGAGGATGAAGATGATGACAGTGATGATGATGATGAGACAGATGATGAGGAAGCCACAGAGCTTACTGCTGACGATGTGGGAGGTGACAAGTCTACAGCTGGCCAGGCCCAGGGATGTGGGGACTGTTCCCAACTCTGTACCTCAGGGGCACCCCGACGACACCGGCGGGCGTCCCACAGCCAAGCATCTGCCACCCACCCCTTCCACTGCAACCAGTGTCAGCGCAGCTTCAGCTCTGCCAACAGGCTGATGGCTCATGGTCGGGCCCATGTGGGGGGCACCCATGAGTGCACCACCTGCTCCAAGGTCTTCAAGAAGGCAGCCTCACTAGAGCAGCACCTCCGGCTCCACCGTGGAGAAGCCCGCTACCTGTGTGTGGACTGCGGCCGTGGCTTTGGCACAGAGCTCACGTTGGTGGCCCATAGGCGGGCCCACACCGCCAACCCGTTGCACCGCTGTCGCTGTGGCAAGACCTTCAGCAACATGACTAAGTTCCTCTACCACCGGCGCACTCACGCTGGGAAGAGCGGGACCCCCACCAGGGTAGCAACTGTCTCCCCAGCTTCAGTTGAGCCTACACCCCGACCCCCACCTCCTGCCCCACCTGCCCAGCTGCCCTGTCCACAGTGCCCCAAGTCATTTGCCTCAGCCTCCCGGCTCTCCAGGCACCGGAGAGCAGTACACGGTCCCCCTGAACGACGGCACCGGTGTGGGGTCTGTGGCAAGGGCTTCAAGAAGCTGGTCCATGTGCGCAACCACCTGCGGACACACACAGGTGAGAGGCCCTTCCAGTGCCACTCCTGTGGCAAGACCTTTGCTTCTTTGGCCAATCTCAGCCGCCACCAGCTGACCCACACAGGTGTGCGTCCCTACCAATGCCTGGACTGTGGCAAGCGCTTCACACAGAGCTCCAACCTGCAGCAGCACCGACGGCTACACCTACGGCCGGTTGCCTTTGCCCGTGCCCCCCGCCTTCCCATCACTGGTCTCTACAACAAGAGCCCCTACTACTGCGGGACCTGTGGCCGCTGGTTCCGAGCCATGGCAGGCCTTCGACTGCATCAGCGGGTCCATGCCCGAGCCAGGACTTTGACATTGCAGCCTCCCAAGTCACCGCCTCCAGCCCCACCCCCAGCCCCAGAGCCTCAGCAGACTATCATGTGCACAGAGCTTGGGGAGACCATCGCCATCATTGAGACGTCACAGCCACTGGCACTCGAGGACACGTTGCAGCTGTGCCAGGCAGCACTGGGGGCCAGCGAAGCAAGTGGACTGTTGCAGTTGGACGCGGCCTTCGTGTGACAGCCCAAGAGCAGTAATAAAAGGGTTTGGTTACAAGCGTGTACATAAGACCTCTGGGGAGAAGAGGACCCTCTGGCAGGGTGATCTGGCACTCGCCACGTGCCAGGACCCATCCCGCTTCTCCTAGTGCTGACTCCTCAGAGCAGCTGCCAGGGTTCTCTTGTTGCTCTTCTCTGCCCGAGGGGAAACAGAAACAGAACCAAAGCTCTGAGAAGTGGTGTGATCTGGCCCAGTTCATACTGCTGCATTGCAAAGCAGGGCTTTGCCAAGGCTCTGCACGGCATTGCCCTGGTGCTCAGCAACATCAGGTAACCTTTACTGAGCACCAACTGTGTGCTAGGTCTGTGCCACACACTCTCATATACCTCTTCAGACCCTCTGCTTGTCCCCAGCCTTCCTTGAACTTTGGGTGTGCAGAACTTAGCTCCACCTGATAGAGGAAGGCACTTGATTTCTCTGGGCTTCTTTCATCTGTTTTGACCATATGGAAGGAAGTCTGTAGGTACCCCAGTACTCAGTCCAGACTGGGTGATTCTGGAGACCCAAGAATAAGCCAGACAGTGCTGTATGCAGGAGGCATGCTGACAGCAGGACTACACACAAGTATAGACAGCTTGCTCTGAGTGTGTCTCACTGGTTCATTCAGCCTGTATGTCCAAGGCCTCTTTTAAATGTGTTGTGCTGCTGCTGCAAGCCAGAAGCCGAGTCAGGCCTAGGGGTTCCTGGGCTGTGAGGGGGCTATGTAGGGACAGTGGGATCTCAGGAAGGAACAGACCTCCATGGGAGGAGATCAAGAGTGAGATTTCCTAGTGGAGGCAAGTCCCTGAAATACAAGTAGGAATCTGCTAGTGGAAAAGAACACTGTAGATAGATAGTACTACAAGAGAAGGATGATTATTTGGAGACCCCCCCAGTTACAAACAGAAAGGAAAAGTAAGTTTTCCAGTGTCACAGAACAGCTGGGATTTGAGGGGGCCTCGGGAGCAGGAAGGGATCCCATTCTTAAGAGTCCTTCCCTCCCCAAACAGGTGCAGATGAATATGGGAGGTCAGGGGGGCAGGCTCCCCCAGGCCTCTGCAGACCATGATGCCCTGGCAGGTGAAGCAGAATGGGGCTGGGGCTGGGGCTGGGGCTTGTCTGGGAGGAGGGCCTAGACTTTGGAAATTGGGCTGAGTAGTTGAAGACAGAGTTAAGGTAGGAGTGTAGGGGCAGGAAGGTGAAGGACACCCTCAGTGACCACAGTCAACCAGTGGGAGGGAGGAACACTGGGTCCATCTCTCACCCAGACCAGCCATCTTCCCTCTAGTTGAGAAGCAAGGTGAAACCCAGACTGGTACTGAACAAGGGAGGGATGAGGTTCATCCCGCAGAGTAAAAGGGTGCCCCTGGGGCTGTTGTAGGCAACTTGCAGAGCCCAAAGCCCAGAGTCCTGGAACTCCCTCAGGGACATGCGCCAAACTTCCTTGCTGTTCATAAGTGGAATCCAACAGAGGACAGGCAGTGGCTCCTCCCCAGTCTCCCATGGCCTCCTGAAGGCTCCTGCTCACTCACTGCTTGGCACCATGTGGAAGAGATACTGTTTTCTTCTGCCATGGCCCCCACCCTCTGGCTCCAGCACATTTGAAAAGCCAGGGGGGAAAAGCCAGGCTAGGCAGCACAAGCCTGTAACCCCAGGCCTGGGGAGCCTAAGGCAGGAAGGAAGCTCGGGCTACTTAATGAGACCCTATCTCAGGAAAGTGAGAAGAAAGCCAAGGTCTCTGCCTCCTTCCCAGGGTTGCCACTTCACCACATCCCTAAGAGAAGTGAAACATGGGTGCCCTGCTTCCGACAGAATGAAGCCTTGGGAATCTGGCCATGGCTACCCCACTAAGTCTGTAGGTACTTGGGTTTTGGGACAAGAGACTCACATGATCCAGGGTCCCTTTGGACTCTGCAGCATCTGGGCTGGGCATCCCTTTGCTCAGGTCCTGGACTCTGCTTCTTAAGTTCTGGGGTTTCAATCCCTCTGAGCCCCAATCTCCTGCTGGTCACCCAGGAAGCTCACCCTTTCCCAGCTGAAGCAGGTGATTTATGCCAGGTCATAGGCAGGAGCCACCTCTACAGTTAAGATAAGCCTGTCACTGCATACTCTAAAGGGACTGGAAGGTCAGCCTGAGTCTGGACTAGGACTCAGGCCTCCCAGTGTTCCCCTGCCAGAGCTACTGCTGACCTGACTCTGAACAGCCTTCCAGGCAGCCCCCTTCCCTCTGGAAACAAGCAGCCAGGCAGGAAGAAGGGTTTCATGCCAATAATTTATTGAACGGAGGTCTGTACACAGGCAAACCTTACTGTGGAGACTAAGACACCAGGGGCTCTCCCCACTCCCCAACCTCTAGGGTAGGGAGCAGGACGGAGCCTGGGGAGCAGAGGACAGGAGGGGGCACAGCTGCAGGGGAGGGCAGGCTGGATGGTGCGAATCGACGTTTTCTTTAAGAAAAAAATTATAACAATCTATTTACACCCGAGGAGGCCAGGGAAAGAAAAAGAAGGTGGGCTGGGCTGGTCCTATTTACACGGGAGTAGGGGAGGATGAAGGAGTGGAGGTCTCAGGGGAGGGGAGGGGGCCAAGGGGGTAAGAGGGTCTCATACCCCAACCCCCTGTCCGTCCTTTTCTTCCCTCCCCACAACCAGTTAAAATCCTCTTTAAAAAGCCCACCAAAGAGGTGAGGCTGGTAAGGGAGGGCCTAGAGGTTGGGGGTAGGAATTCATTTACCTCTGCCCTCTAGTCTAGGGGCCCAGGCAGGGCAGGAGCTTGGTGGGCTATGCCCCCTCCCCACTTCCCAGCCCCACTTGGAGTTTTCAGATGGACTTAGAGGGGCAGTCGGTGGGGCCCTCAGGAAGAGTTAGCGAGGGTAGGCGTGGCTTCAGATGCCTGCCAGTCTGGGCCGCTCTGAGTCTCAGTTAAAGCTGAAGGAAGGGGAGGGAAGGAGTGGACAGTTAGCCTTTGCCCGATACCCTGCCCTTACCCACAGCACTTGCAAGATGCTTTGCTACAAGTTGACAGCTGCCACTTTATGGCCAAGGTTACAAACCCGGATGCCCACAGGTCACTGACTGAAGGGGCCCACATCTGGGAGCCAGGCTCCACAGAAAAGAGGGGCAGCTGGACACAGCTCCAGCCGGGAAGGGCAGACCACTGCTGCCAGGTCCCCAGAGAAACAGGAAATCTTGATCTCTTCCCCACTCCCCAAAATGGTGCAGTCTTTAAATGTGGGCAACCCTCTGCTTATTGAGGCCAAGCATACACATTTGTCTTCCAGTTGTCATCTAAGCACAAACGTAGGCAATGCTGCTCTATAAAGATGGTCACCGATAGACTCAAATACGCCGTCTTTGCTACCAAGTGTCAACACCTGTGCTGCTTTAAACTTCAGCACAGGGCCCCCAACTTACCTTGTGAGGACGAGGTGAGGGTAGCAGTGCCTGCCTGAGACCTCAAGTGAGGAGGGATGAGAATGGCATTGAGAGACGGCTGGATGGAGAGTTCTAGAGACAGGAATTGACAAGCCCTATCAGGGGGAGGCAGGGCATCTGGAAAGCCAGCTAGGGTTAGGATAGGGCACCAAATAGGGACCCAGCTACTGGCAAGGCTAGGGGGTAGAAATTTATAGCCACAACTCATCAAACTGGAAAAGGCTTAATATAAGCATAATGTGGTGGCATCCTGCTCTGCCCCAGACCCATCATGGACCCTGTCAGCTCCCCACACCTGTCTTTAACACCAAACCTTTCCACATCTCTGGCTGCCACACCACTCCAGACCCCAAAGCTGTGCTCTCACCACCAGGACTGAAATTGAAGAGCGGGGGAAGCGGGCGGTTGTTGGGGAGCTGGGTTCCAATACACCGAAGTTCATCGAAGAAGCTGTGGGCACAGGCCTCTAGTGGAGAGAGCCTTGAGGACGGCGTGTACTCCAGCAGGCTGGAGCAGAGTGCGATGGCCTCAGGCGGTGTCCTAGACTTAAACACCTGATGGAATTGGGGGAGGGGGGCATGCCATCAGCATGGTGCACCTCACTGCCCTAGTGCCTGCCTGTGCCTGCCACTCACCCACCTCCCCAATGACAAAAACAGTCATAAACGCTGAAGCAAGTGGTCAGTTCAGGTCCCATGACTGTATGAGCCCTGATGTGAATCGCAGCTTCCCTGACATATAAATGGGAAATCTTGTATTTACCTGCAAGTCCTCAACTTTTAAAATTCTATAAACTTTGCAATCCGATAAAAGTTACCAACTGACTCCTGGATAACTGCAAACTCTCCAAGCCATAATTCTGAAGCCAGGTCCCCCAGAGCAGTTGGCCTCCAAGGGGATCCACCCCTCAGCCATGCTGCCTGAGTCTCTAGCTCTGCCCCTACCTTTGTCCAGGGGTGAGCTTTGATCTGGGGAAACTTGAACTCTGTGTAGTTGGGGTTCATCTCTCGGATTTGTTCCCGGGTTGGTGTTCCTAGTACCTATTAAGGACAGGGAGGGGTTTAAGACAAGGGCCCTTTCCCTCATTCCCCATCCCCCTCCTTCCACCACTCCCTGGCCCTGCCCTCACCTTGATGATTTCCACCAGCTGGTCCACCCCACTGTCCCCAGGGAAGATAGGCTGGCCAAGAAGGAGCTCAGCCAGTACACAGCCAGCTGACCACACATCTGAAGGAGAAAGGGGTGGGTTCAGAGGTAGGAGCCAAGGTTGCAAAGCCCATTCCCTTGCAAGAATATAAGGTGGCCCTCTCCATAGGTAAAGGCAGGCAGCTCCACTGGCTCAGAGAAAAGGCACCTGGACCAAGATCATGCCCAGCTTGGAGCCTGATCTTGAAGCTCCAGGTCTAGCAACAGGTACCTGTGTCCTTTGGGCCACAAGAAAGTGAAGCTTTCAATTCTGGACTGCAGTCCACCTCCCAGCCTCTGTCCTGCCCAGAGGAAGAATTGCGGCCTGATCTACTCAACCCTCCCTACTCTGTACCTTCACACCTAAGGATCACAGGGTTTCTCAGACAGTTGACATTCTCTTTCACACTTTTCCCTTTCAGCCTTCCCCTCCCTCAGGCTTGGAAGGTGGTAATGCCACCCCTAGGAACAGGGCAGGACAGAGGCCCTGGGAACAAGTCACACCCTCAGGGTGACAGTTCCCCCTAGGTTACTGCCAGCCCCTCCCCTCCAGCTGAGAAGAGGGCTGACTAGGATATTCCAGAGTGGGGATGGACTCTGATGTTGGCTCAGTCGTGAAACCTCAGCCCTGCCCAGGCCCAATTATGAAACCCCGGCCAGGTAGCCGCATGGTAGCCAGCCTTGGATTGCTTAGCCACTCATCTAAAACAGGATGCAATAGCATCAGCCTCCTCGGCTTGTGGGGACCAGTGAAAGAACAGACGGGAGGCTTTAATCACCAGGCTTGGCAAAAGCACCCAGAAGTAGCTCAAAACCTGCCAAGACTGTCACTCCCCTGCTCCCCTCCCCTAACTCTGACCGATGGATGAGGTGTAATCGGTGGCTCCGAAGATGAGCTCTGGGGCACGGTAGTACCGAGAACAGATGTAGGAGACATTGGGCTCCCCCCGGACCAACTGCTTTGCACTGTGGAAGAGATGGGCAAGGTTAAGCACAAGCCCAAGGTCAGGACCCTTTCACCCCTTCAGCCACCCCACAAGCCCCAGGTCAGACCTACCTGCCAAAGTCACATAGCTTGAGGACAGCAGTGTCAGGGTCCACCAGCAAGTTCTGGGGCTTGATATCACGGTGACACACACCTTGGGAGTGGATGTAGGCCAAGCTCCGGAAGAGCTGGTACATGTACACCTGGAATGGGTAGGGTACAGCTCAACTCCAGCCCATCCCTCCCCAGTTAGCATACTGCTGGCCCGTGATCTCAGGCCATTCTCCATCTGGTGCCCCATGGCTTCCGTTCTGAGCCCTTGTTTGAAGCCCCAGGTTCTCAAACTTCAGTGCCTGCCACAATCACCTGGAAGACTCCGTCAGAACAGACTGCAGGGCCCCACTCCCAGTTTCTGATTCTGAGACTTGAGAACCAGATGCTGATGCTGGTCCTGACTTCCACTGACAACCCAGGTCTTGTCATAACACAAGCGGAGGACCAGGCACTCAGCTTCCCTCCCCACCTACATCTGACACAGCTACCCAAGTGCAACCCTTCTCCAGGGTGATCCTCCTGTCTCCCTTACACCCACTGACAGAACCTAAGGAAGGATCTTTAAGGTTTTCAGTTTTGTTTTTAATTTTGTATTACATTTTTATTTTTACTTATTTTGTGTGTATGTACACCTAGGTGCCCATGTGCCACAATGTATAAGTGGTGGTCAGAGGACAAATCTCTTTTAGGTTTTGTTTTGAAACAGGGTCTCAGTCTGGAGTCCAGGCTGGCCTTGAACTTGAAATCCCCCTGCTTTAGACTCCGCAGCGCTAAGATGATAGGCACACTACACGCAGTCAGGATCTTTCAGTTTTAACTCCTGCTGCTCCCCTGGGCCTAGAACAGTGTGTGCTAACTCAGCTGCTCCTGTAACACAGGATGCTTCTGGGGACCCCCCCCCATGTCCCCCTTCCCTTTGAACAGATGCCACTGGTCTCTTCCCAGAAGCCTTCCTTAATTTTTGATCCTTCTCATTCCCAAACAAGGCAGGCAGGGCAAAGGGGTTCCCTGCACCCTCCTCTAGTCTGGTAGCAGCTCATTACTTTTTTGTGGCAATGCCTATCAACTTCACCAAATAGAGCTCTTCAAAGGCAAGGCCTAGTCCCAGTCAACTGTGTCCCTGGAACTGCTCGGCACTGGGCCCAGCACAGTTCCCCACAGCACAAGACCTTCCCTCCCAGTACGGCCCAGCAGCAGCACTACTGGCACATCAGCATCAGCTCACCCAGGTGCAAGGTACTGAGGCCAAGGGGAACAAGCCAATAGGCATGCAGGAGGAGGCATACTGGCTCTTAGGTGTGGACACACCCTCCTGCAGCTCAAGGCCTTCCTGCCTACCCACTCTATTCTTGGTCCCCACAACTCCAGTGGCAGTGGTACAACAATGCCCCCCCTGTGGGCAGGTCCTCTGCACTCTGGTCACCTAGCCCTTGGCCCTCCCCTGGGCTCAGCCAACCCCATCAGAGCTACAGGGCTAACACAGACTTCCAGAAACCAACATAAGCTTGAAGGAAGGAACCCACAGACACTGGAGGTTCCAGAGCCCCTGGCTTATAGGCCTGGGCCCCAGCAGCCTGCCTGCTTGCTTGCCTACCTTGACATAGATGATAGGGATGATCAGCTTGGCCTTGGTGAAATGGCGGGCCACCCGGTACACTGTCTCGGGCACATATTCCAGCACCAGATTTAAGTACAGCTCATCCTTCTAGACAGCAAATGAGAGTTGTGCGGCATTGTCAGGAAAAAGGGAAGACATTCAGAGGACAGTGAGAGACAGACTGAACCTCATGGGAAAGGAAAGCAGGAAAACAGAATCGGAGCAGCTCCCCACTACATACCCTGGATACCCCAAGGTCTCACCTTCTCTCCACTGGAGTAGAAAAAGTACCGCAGTCTCACGATATTGCAGTGGTCTAGTTTACGCATAATCTGCAGCTCTCGGTTCTTGGGGGCAAAGAGAGAGTCTTAATACAACCAGCCCCCGGCCTCCCTGCCCTAGTGCCCCCCACCTTCATCCTATACCTATTTCCTCCAACAGAGCAGGCAGCTGTTCCCTGTGTCCCAAACCCAAGGCTCCATTGCCTGGGGGAGGGAAAGGGGGGAATTACTTCCTCACCCCTGGGGCCCCTTCCCCTCACATACGAAGTAGCCTGTGGGTCAGTCCCAGGTTACTGATGTGTTTACCTCGACCTGCTTTTTAGGAATTTTCCAACTACTGCTGGCATGTAAAAGCCCAATTACTTCACTCAAAAAGCCAGTCCTCTTGAAAAAACAAATGAAGCTAGGCCTGGTGGTGCTGGCCTGTAATCTCAGCTACCTGGAAGACTGAGGCAGGAAGAGTCCAGGTTCAGCGACAGCCTGGGCAACTTAGTGAAGCTTGGTCTCAAAGAACAGGAAAGATGTGCTCTAGTGACGTGCCTAGCACGTATGACCTCTGGGTTCAACCCCAAGTACTGCCCAAAATAAATCAGACAAGGTGTCCACATAAGGCTTACCACCCTACATGGCACAAGCAGCAATAAACAAAGAGCTGTCTGGTTAACATGACCCCACCACTCCCGATCACTTCCCCTGGGGGAGCCCGAGACTCTCAACTCTAGCTGAGATCCCAAATCCCAAAATCCAGTCTGCCAGCCTCATCTATTCCAAGCCTCTGCCTCTTCCCATCCTCTGTTCTCCTCTGGGGCCTCAGAACTCTTCCCAGATCCCTCTAAGTTCTGGAACTCAGTTCTATCAAACTCTGCTGACGCTGTGGGGCTTCTGCCTGACACTCGTCACTGCCCAGGCCCAGGCCCAGTTCCCCCACCTAGACTGGCCCAGACTCCAGTGCCAATCCTCCAAGTACCAGTTATCCCTCCAGTTTCCTCACCTCCTGCCAGTTAGTTCCCTGGGCCTCTGCTAGCTCACAGAGCACCCTCTCCTTAGGAGACAGAGCTCCACACCATGACGGGTGGTTTAAGCGAGCATGGTACAGCTGGATTCCATTCGGCACTGGCCAACACCTGGGGCAGAGCGCAACCTTCAGGGCTACCAGCATCAACCTTGCCAGACTTTCTCCGGAAGACTTGTGACCAAGCGGGTGAGGTGGAGGGCTTCAGAATCCAACAGGCCAGATTCTACTCTTGACGGGGGTACTTACTATGCAGATTTTACTTCTGCTTACTTAGGATGGCTCTCAGACAATCTTCAGGTGAATTAACTAGAACTTGCCTGTCAAGCACTTATACTGAGGAAATGCCTAATAAATGTCAGCTCTCAAGTATTCTGGAATTCACATTTCCCAGCTTTCCCCCAGCTCATTCCCTTCCTTCCCCCTCTCCTGGGGCCCATGTTCAGATCCCCACTGAAATTCCAGGCCCAGGTCAGTGAGATGGCTCAGCAGGTAAAAGGGCTTGCTTGCCATGCAAACCTGATGACCTGAGTTCAATCCCCAGATCCCACTTCCCAGGGAGTGGAAGGAGAGAACCAACTCCCAAAAGTCCTCTGACTTCCACATGTACATCATGGCACACATACGCCACACTCTGTCTCTGTCTCTGTCTCTGTCTCTGTCTCTCTCTCTCACACACACACACACACACACACACACACACACACACACACATAATTAATATTAAAAAATTAAATGCCAGGCCCCGGCTCTGCTGCTGGGCACACTCACCAGTCATGCCCTGTCCCCAAGCTTCCAGTCCCCCAGAGCTACCTTGAACCTCTTGTCCTGGAGAACCTTCTTGATGGCCACCAGTTCCCTTGTCTCTGCCAGCCGTGCCTGGTACACGACTCCAAATGAGCCATTCCCGATCACTTTGATGTCTGTGTAAGCCACCTCTTGGGAACGCTCTGGGCCTTGGCCTAGAGTGGCCACCACTGTGGTCACCTTCCCGCTGTCTCCTGAAGAACAAAGGGGACACACAATCCACTGATCTTTTCTCTCTGGCCACCAGAGCTCAGGAAGGGAAAGCTCTTTAGAGAGCTTACTGGGGGGCCAGGAGTACAGCTCAGTGGTAGAGTAATTGCCTGGCATGCACAGGCCTGGGTTCAATACCCAGCTTGGGGGGTGGGTGGGGGTGGGGTGCCTAGGCTCTCCAGTGACCTAGGGCCTCCCTTTAGGGAGCCATAAATTCTGCTTCTTCCTATATGGAAAAACACTGACACTCAAGTGTCTTTACCATTAACAAGTAGATAACCCCTAATTTCTACTTCTAGGTAACAGCAGCAAGTCACTTGGTGGTGGAAGGGGGGGGGGGTCACCAACACTCCAGGTGTTGAATCCAGCCACACTGGGCCCACCACGCTCTTGCAGGGGAGGCACAAGGTACCATCTTCCACTCAAGGGAAGTAGAAACTATGGGGTGCTCTTTTAGGAAAACAGTGGCCATTCTTACAGCCAGAGGGCACTTACTTCTGAATCCTCCCTGGCAGAGCTAGAACAGTCACCACTACTTCTGGGTGACAGAAATGAATGTGCTCTCCTGGTAGAAGTGCCAGTAACATAGTGCTCACTATGGGGGGATAGTTACTCTTACCAAATACTTTGCATTGGAACAGACACTGGCCTGGCTTCTTCATCTGTGTAGTCCAGAGCAGCACCAAACCTGAGAATGGGGCTGCTAATCTGCAGGGGTCTGGGGGCTATTTCGACCTCAGGCCTTTAGAGGAAAGCTTAAATTCTCAATTCCCATTCTCTGAATACCAGTAAACCTTGGTGCCATCTCCTTTGGGAAGCTTATGAACCACATCCATTTGGGAGGGAGATAGTGACCCCTTTTTTTGAAAAATAACCCTACATTGCTATTTCAGTCAATGACAGCACACCTCAGACCCACATCCTAGAGGTAGTTTCAATTCACACCCTCCCATTCCATTTTTGCTGAAGAGCCCCGCCCCCTCCCCCATGCTAAAAACAACAACAACAAAAAACCCACTGACAGTGGTCTTGGTTTGAAGTGTATGCTAATTCCCAATCTTATTTCTAAGCAGCAGTAATTATTTACTACCACCACTGGGGATACAGGTCTACACCTTTTTGGTGGGACAGGATAGGGTAGTGATGTCAGACCTTATGTTTTAAACCTGGCTCTGTTCTATGGGGATATTAGTAACCCTAAATCCTTATTTCTAAGAGCTATTCGGTCCAAATCCCCATTTTTTTTAAGGAAAGCAAATACATATCCCCCTTTGCAAAGGGCATACATGGGATCTTATTCTTGTCTATTAGGGGCCAATAATATGACTATGACCTCTGATCCTGTTCTCTAAAAGGATGGTAACCTTAAGTCTCTGTTTTTAACACTTGAGAACGCAAGACCTTGGTACTGGAAGAGTAAGGACCTGTGACCTCTGTTTCTCGGGTGTTAGTAATTCTGATTCTAGACTTCAAGTGATGGTAGCCCCCAAACTCCTTTCTCTGGGAGACAGAGACCCCATATCCCGGTTTGAAGAACCACAGTGACCTCGAGCTCCTACCTGGGTATGTGAAAGAAACTGATCACCGTTTGAGGGGCTTGGGAAAACCAGATCACTACCCCATAGGGTGTCCCTAAGTACTCACGGCCCAGCTTCACTCCAGGCGGCGGGAAGCTAGTGCCCGCGCCGGGGCCACCGCTGCCGCCTCCGCCGCTGCCGCTGGGGCCACCCCCGGAGCTCGAGGCTCCCACGCCCCCACCCATGGCCCCGACTGACGCCTTCCCGCCGCCGGTGCCTCCTGGGCCAGAAGCCGAGCCCCCGGGGCCGCCGCCACCGCCTCCGCCTCCGCCGCCTGGCTCCGCGAAAGAACTGGTCCGCGCCCGGCCCGAGCCCCCGGGGCCGCCTCCCGAAGGCCCGCCGCCACTCATGGCGCCGAGCGCAGGCCCAGGACGCGGGGCTCGGGCTGCCTCCGCCGCTGCCGCTACCGCCGCCTCCCCTGGGCTCCGGCCTCTTCCAGGCCGCGCTGTTCGGGCTCCGGCTCCGGCCCAGCGCCCGCCGCGGGGCACGCCGGGAGATGCAGTCTGTCTGCCGTCGGCTTCGCGGTCGCCACCCTCAACCCGCACGGCACGCCGGGAAATGGAGTCCGCAGAACTTCAGGGTAGGTAGCCAGGGATGACGAATCGCGCTGCACGTCGGGAAATAGAGTCCAGGGTCTGTCATCCGACTGTGCCGAAGGCAGACCCGGAAGCACTTCGGAAGACAGACTCACAGAATCACACGCTCACTTCACTGTAGCAACAGCGAACCCTTTAGGGTGCCTCAGAAAAGATGTCGCAGCCACTCCATCCCTGAGCGATGTAGGCCTGATGCACGCCGGGAAATGGAGTCCAAGCGCCCTCCTAATCTATTGGCTGTAGGTAACGTCCTGCGCTAGGTGCACTCTGGGAAATTGAGTCGCAAACCTGCAGTTCCTTAGGTAAGCAGCACGCCGGGAAATTGAGTTGTCACCACGCCCTCACCGCATTGCAGGTGTAGAGCGGTTTATAAAGGTCGCCGGGAAATGGAGTCCCCAGGTGGTCTTCAAACCTCAAGTAGATACTGCAGCTGCAGAGATACGGCAGGAAATAAGAGTAGCCATCGCGCTCTCTCTTAGTTAGCTGAGCCGCAGTCCCTTCCGGGAAATGTAGTTGACAACAACACTTAAGCGCAGTTGCTACAGCGAGCTCTGGTGTATTCTGGGAAATGGAGTTCACGACCTCACCACTGAGGGAGGGGTCGGAATCCACCGGGAGCTCGAAGCATGCTGGGAATGGTCCCCTGCGGAATCTGACTCTTTGTGAAGCCAAGTTCTGGAGATTTTTGGGAACTGTAGTCCAATTTGGTACCACTAGGGAGATTGTGGGTGAAAGGGTAGGACTGCAGTTCCCCGGGGAGACTGTAAAGCGCTACAATGTCTCCTCCCTCTTCCCCAGGTCCTCAGAATGAGCCTAAGCCCATCAGTGACTGCGGGAAAGAAGAGCCCCCCCCAACCCATTTTAAGTTTGGGGAAGTAAAAAATGCCCCCTCCCCTCCTCCTTAAGGATTTAGTGGTCGGTTCCCGGCCGTATCTCAGAGCCCTCATTTTCGGACATCGTCAACCTTCTTCCAGCAAAATGTGCATCGCACCCAGAGTCCCAGCCTGGATGGTTTTTAAAAAGACAGAATTTCTGTCTTGAACCCCCTCTCAATTTTTTCCGTCCTCCTTCTTCCTAAATTACAAGATCCTAGCGAGCACAAATAAAGAGTGCCAGCTGCAAGAAGCTTCGGGCTTTCTGCGCACATTTAGTTGTCCCATTTATCAATTTATACCCAGAAGGGAACAGCTCCAAAGGATGCTGGGAAACAGAATTCTCTGTGTCTCTTTCTGTGGCGTGTGTGCGTTTGCGTGTTCTCCCCCTGGAAATGCTTGGCAATAGAATAAAAGTATTCTCAGTCCCTCATGTTTCAGAAATTGATTCATGTAGTGCAAAAGGCTGTGTTCATTGTGATCTTTCTGGCTTTTCTATAGTTCCTGTCCGTTCGATCTGTTCCCGACTGCAGATGCATGCAGATGTTACTCTTAAGTCTTTTCCGACTACATTATCCAGAAGGCAAAGCGCGGACACTTCCGCCCCCTTCGCAAAGCCTGTAGGAGCGTCACTCACAGCTCGGAGAGGGCGTTTCTGGGATGTGTAGTTACCCAGCCAAGTGACGACTGCTGCCCTCTGAAGGCAGCTCGGAGTTGAAAAGTAAAAATTTAAATCAAGCCCCAAGCCATAGCACCAAGAAGGTTCACTAGGGCTTGGGGCAGGATAGAGCCGATGACTTAACCCCCCAAAACCCGTGGGATGTTTGGGATTTTGAAGGTGACGTCCTGAGAATATTTAATAGAATGTTTCTGTGTCTAAAAGAGGCCTAAAGATGTTTGGAAGACTTCATGGGGGTCCAGAAACAGGGTCTTTGATGAGCTACAGGCAGTTGGTAACAGTTTTGGGGTCCGTACAGCGAAGGATGTCTGTAAAAGGTATGTGGGTGGATGAGAAATTGCTAGTGTCTGAAAGGATTTCTTAGCAGGTTGAAGGGGTGAAGGGACTTTGAGGCATTTGTGTAGGTACTAAGCAGGCACCACTGTCCAAACGGACTTTTTGTTGCAATGAATTCGTCTGTGTAATGACCAGAAGGATGAAGAATTTTCATTCAAAGCAAAAATCTCTAAGGAAAGGGCGAGGTGGTGTCTTTTGTTGTGATTTTATTCTTTTGAAACAAGGACTCATATAGTCCAGCCTGGCCTCAAACTCATTATGAAGCTGAGAATGTCCTTCAACTCCTGATATTCCTGCCTCCACACCCCAAGTGCTGGGATTACAGGCATGTGCCACCACAACCACAGGTTTATGTGGTGCCGGAGGAAATAACCCAGGGGGCTTGTGCATGCTAAGCAAGCACTCTACCAGCTATGTCACATCCCCAGCCCTTCCTACCTCCCACATGTGCCACCACATCAGGCTCCGGGAATCTTGCAGGAACACTCCAGGCCTGCAAATGGATGTAGGTGGGCGATTAGGGTGGGGGAGCTGCTAGAGTCTGAAGCAAACGCCTCCAGTGACATCCCACACAGCCAGAATCTGGGGCAAGTTTGGTTGGGCCATGGGCTGACCTCCAGAGTAGCTCTGGAGCTGTGCACTTAGGAGTCCTGTGACTAGAGGTGCTCTGGAGGGTTGGTTCTGACCCTACCACCCAGACTCCTGATTCTCTCCTGCAGTGACGACATCTCCTTTCTCCATCACTCCACCAGCAACTCAGCTGCATCTATGTTGCCAGGAGATATGTCTCATCCCAACTTCCAGAAATAGCCCAGTGGTTCCCACTCCAGGGAATGACTTACATCACCCAGGAGAGGGAGCAGTTGTCCACAGGCTGCCACTGGAACCTAGTTCCTGCCAGTATCCCAGTCCTGGATCCAACTGGCACCCATCATCTGGGACCACCCACCCTGGACTGGCATGAGCTGAGGTTTAAGTGCAGTTACCAGTCGATGTTCCTTTTCCTTCAGGGTTGCACAGGGTTGGGCTGCATGGAGAAGACAGTCCTACAGGCCTGGAGTTCTCAATTCTTACTCTGCAAAGCTGCATGGCCTTGGGGAAACCCCATCCCCTTTCTGGGCCTGGGGCATCTCACCTGCACTGCCCAGGTGGGGCTGGTTGCCACCAGCAATCCCAGCCTGAATTCCTTCTAATTGTTTTCCTCCAGGACTCAATCCTCCAGTCTGGGATTCTAGCCTTATGAGCTCATCTCGCAGATCCTAAGACCTGATACCTAAATCTGGATCCAACCATCTAGGTTTTCAGTTGGAAAAGCCAGTTGTTGAATTCAGAGCTAGACTTTACCAAAAGGCTTGGCTTTAGGGCTGTAGTCAAGTTTGCTATTGAATGCTAAAGAAACTAAAGGGTTTAAATACTTGGCACACAGGTGAATCAGACTATGCTTAGTGGCGTGAACCCCTCTCAACGTGCTGGCTGTTTTGCCCTGGTGGAACAAAAGATCTCCAAAAGATCACCAAATTATCTGTGAGGTCTCCACCTTTAAAAACATTTATTTTTTTAATTATATGTAAGCACGGGTATCTACTGTGAGGGTATGTGAACTTAAGTGCTGATGCCCAAGGATGCCAGAGGTGTCTGATCTGATCCCCTGGAGGTGGAGTTACAGATAGTTACGAGCTGCTTGATATAAGTGCTAGGAACCAAATCCAGGCCCTCTGCAAGACCAGTATGTGCTCTTAATCCCTGAGCTATCTCTGATTCTTATTATTAGCCAGGCATGGTGGTGCACACCTTTAATCCCAGCACTTGGGAGGCAGAGGCAGGTGGATCTCTGTGAGTTCAAGGCCAGCCTGGTCTACATAGTGAGTTCCAGGACAGCTGGGGCTACAGGGAGACCCGGCTTCAAAAAGAAAGAAAAAAAAAAAATTTATTTATGCCTATGTCTGTGTGATTATATGCCACTTGTGTGCAAGTGCCCTAGAGGGCAGAAGAGAGCAACAAATCTCCTGTAAGTAGTTATAGGCAGTTGAGCTCCATTCTGAACCAAATTTGAGTCCTCATGAAAAACAAAGTGCTCTTAACCACTGAGCCATCTCTCCATCCCGAGGTCTGCATATCAAGATACAGGCCTTGGTGCCAAACGATTCCAAGTTGAAGGCTGACAATCCCCTTCACCCTAGCCTTTTTTCCCCTCCAAGTCCCATGTGGCCCATGCTGGCCTTGAACTTAAAATATCCTGCATCTAGCTCTCATGTTCTGGGATTACCATATCCAAGCATTCTTGCAGGATGTGAGCAGAGTGCTGAAGACAGTGTAAAAACGGCCTTCACCGGGTAACTGGTAGGGGGTATAGTTAGAAATCAAGAGCTGGAGAGGAAAAAACACTTTAGGCAATGGGAGGATCAAGGACCTCAGGGTGGTATTAAAGAGTCTAAAAAGATTCCAAGAAGCACGCCTTTAATCCCAGCACTTGGGGTGCAGAGGCAGGTGGATCTCTGAGAGATAGAGGCCAGCCTGGTCTACAGAGGAAGTTCCTGGTCACAGCTGTGGCTACAGGGAGACCTCATCTCAGAACAAAACAGAAAGATCCCAAGAAGCATATTCTCACACAATAGGTCATCAAAACACCAGGCTATAGAAAAAGAGAGACCCCCCCCCCCAACCATCAACTGAGGTCTGTGACACGGACAGTAGGCAATAATTCCCCAGGCCTGGATTTGACCTGCTCAGAGCGAGTCAGACTTTCTGGCCACAGGAGAGGGGTGTCTAGACCTGTCCAGAATCAAGTTTGTGGCTGCACTCAATACCTAGGACAGATCACCACATGCAAAGGTCCAAAGTTTTATTGTTTTGAATACATTCTCCAGCAGCCCCCTTACTCCCCCACCCACCCTCCATTCCCAATACAGAGTAAGGCTTGACCACAGCCCCTCAGCATACCCCTAGGGCCCCAGCTGGGAGGCAGAGAGGGGCTTCCAGTTTGGTTTCAGGGGACCCCTTTCCTGTCCCTCGACCCACCTGCCCACGGGCCAGTCCTAGGAGCAGCTGGGAGTGGGTATGAAGGGGCTGGACCAGTACTGGGGTGAGGAGTGGAGAACAGGCACTTGTAGAAATATGTGGCCCATGGGTGGCACCCCTCACCTTCCTCTGCCCCCCAACCCCACCACCCCCACAGAATTTTTGGTTCATAAAATTGTCCCTCCAGCCCCTGCTGCAACCTTGTGGGGTATGAGAAACCCAGGCACTCACAGCCCCTGGAGGGGCAAGGAAGGCAGGGTTGGGGCTCAGAGGGAGCTAGGGAGGAGGGGGGGAAGGAGGACAAGGTAAGAGGCAGGTGACAGGGAGAGAGAAAAGGCTTTACTTCCTACGATTGTAATAAAAAAAAGGTTCCTGGGTGTTAAGGCCAAAGCCTCAGTTCAAATAGAAATCCCCAGAATGGGGGTGGACCCCCTTATCTTCCCCCTCCCTCCCCCCACCACCTCTTTGCCCGGAGCTTTGAAACCCAGAGATGGAGAAGAGACAGTCCCCAGCCCTGGGCCACCCACCCACCCTACCGTTTATTTAAAAAAAAAAAAAAAAAAAAAAAAAAAAGAGTTTTATACAAAATGTGGGGAGGAAAAAGGAAGGAGGCAGGGAAGAGACTAGAGAGCTGCCCTCACCTCCAGGCTTTGGGGGGTGGTTAAGGCAGCGAAAGCATGGGGAGGAGGGGATACCTGGGACCCCTGCCCACAGCCCTCAGGAATCTCGGTGTTCCAGTGAGAGCTGGGCTGTGGCATGCTGAAGGTCAGAGCTCACCCTCCTTGGGGTAAGGGGACCCCCAGCCTCCCCAGGGCCCTCCCCACGCACCTTCTTGTCCTCACCCTCATCCTCAAGGCTCCCAGAGGAACCCCCGCCCCCCTCCAGGCGACAGTCTTCACTCCAGCGCCGCTTAAAGCGTAGTTTGAGGGGCATGCACTGGGCTGCCCCAGGTGCCTCGCCGGGCTCTGGCTTGGGGGGAGCGGGGGGAGCACGGGGTGTCTTGAACACCTCCCCATCTTCCTCATCCTCGTCGCTGATGTCAGTCACCTCCACCTCCTCTGACTCGCCTTCTGAGATGGGCTCCACCTTGATCTGGGGTGGCGGTGGTGGTGGAGCCAGTGTACCTGCCCCCTCAGCCAACACACCTGAGCTACTGCCAACGCCCCCGCTGCTCTTGTCAGTGCTCCCGGAAGCCTTCTCTCCAGCTGCCCGCTGTCGGCGTCCTAGCGGAGGTGGCTGCAGCTTAAACTTGAATGGGGATGAAGAGGAGGAAGAGGAAGACGAGGCCGAGGAGGGGACTGGTGGGGTCTCAGGTGCCATGGGTGGCAGTGGGCACTTGTCAGGGCGCTGAGGCTGAGGCACCACCAGCCCAGGGTAGTGCAGGAAGGCTCGGGGACTGAGGTGGTAGTTGTAGACGCTTTGGGTGTGGGCCTGCAGGTACCGTTTCATGTCCTCAGGGCTGAAGGAGAAGTGGGATCCTCCCCCTGAGCCACTAGGGCCGCCACCACCACTGGGGTACATAGGACTCAGCGTGGGTGAAGGTGTGTAGGCTAGGTGGGTGGGCGTCATAGGCAGAGCTGGGGACAGCTGGGGGGGTAACAGGGAGCCAGGCCCAGCCAGAGGCGACACAGGGAAGGGGCTCAGGGGCTCAGGGCCACCCCGGGGCCGGGGGTAGACACGGAAGACACCAGGGTCATGGGGGAGGCGGGCCAGTGGGGGCCCTCGGAAGGCACCCAGCTCCGGAGGGCCAGGCGGTCGTGCCCGGGGATCCTCTCCCAGTGGCTCCTCCAGCTCTGATGTGCCATCACTACAGTCACTGACTGAGCCTCGGCCCAGACGTCGGGCCACCACAGCCGAGAAGAGAGAGGATGATGATGAAGAGCAGGCCGGTGGTGAACGGGGATCCTCGGTGGGAGACAGCACCTCGGAGGGCGTTGAGGGAGGGAAGCGGAAGTGACTACCACCCGACGGCACTGGAGGGGCACTTTGGGGCACTGCACCCCCTGACAAGAAAGGCAAGATTTGGTGTCAAGGCCCCTGGACTAGCCTGAACACACACAGATCCATCCCTTGTCTCCCTCAAAAGCCGTGCATCCCATCCCCCACACTCACCAGCCAGCCCCACATCGATGAACGGATAATTAACCAGCACCAGTTTGTTGAAGTTGAACTTGTAGGTGAACCGTTTCCCCTTGGTCTTGTGCAGAATGCGTTTGTTATAATAATAGCTGTGGATGTAAAACACCATTGGGCCATCAATCTATACTCCACAGGACCCAGGCCTAGACTGCACCATACATGTGGATAGATACTAATCATAAAGGGTAATGGAAAACCTAAGACCACAAGAGAGAAATCAAGTATCCAGAGAGCAGGAACCAGACTAGAGGCACCCCTGGTAACTGTTATCTCTGCCCAGGACACCTCTTGTTACACCTATGAGCCCAGAGAAGAGCCAGGTTCTGCCCACATACACACAGCTAGTGAAACCTGACATCAGACCCAAAGCCTTCCTCATGCAGAGGGGTTCCCAACCATAGGGGTCTGCCACATGTCCTCTGGGGTCCATAGCCCCTCCTCACCGCAAAGCCCGGCTCAGCTTGTCATAGTTCATTTGGGGTTTGCACTTTCGGACACCCCACAGCCGTGCCACCTCGTCAGGGTCCTTGATGACAAACTCCCCGTAGTCTCCCTGCCAGGCGATGACGCCCTGGTACTCCTCCTTCCGCAGCAGCTCCAAGATAAAGTGCCACAGCTGGATCTGCCTGGAGCCAGGGGAGGACTCCGGTTTGTAGGCCCAATCCGGGAAGGCAAACCCTGGGGACAGGAGACAGGGAGTGGCCTGGGGTCAGGATGCCAAGTTGGGAGCTCTGGGACATACCCCAGAGTCTACCTCCTATCCCACCCTCAGCCTGCCACTGTAGGGAAAAAGCCCCTCTCCCCTTCAGCCACGTAAAGACCCAAATTAGAGAGAGACAGTTTGTCTGTGTGAAGGGGGCTAGACAGGAGCTTGGGGGGGGAGCTGGAGCCTGCTCCAGCGACACCGGGAGAAACAGGAAACCAACGGCGGCGGGTCCCGGGGCCAGTGCCAGGGGGCCAGGCACCAAGCCAGGATGGCGGGCAGGGCTGCCAGTGGGGGAGGGGCAGGAAAGGGCACACGTGGCCAGCAGGATGGGGGCACAGTCCCCTCTGTACACCCTTATTCCCATTCAGAGGGAAGAATATTTCCCAGCCTTTGTGGCCCTTTCCTCAAGAACATACAGTATCTTCCCTCTCAGACATATCGGAGCCCCTACTCCCCACCCCAGGGCTGGAAAGGATTTTTTTTTTTTCTTAAAAGGACCAGGAGGGGTGGGGTGACTGGTTGACGATGAGGTCAGCGCTTGCACACACAGAGGCTTCTGTCTTCCCTGGAGAGTGAAACCCAGACTGTCTGAAAGCCCCCCCCCCTTCCAAGCACTGGACCCTCTGAGTTGCAATGCCCTCTCCAGGTCCACCATCAGGACCTGGCTGGAGGGGACCTGGCTGGAGGGGACCTGGCCCAGGCAAAGCCTAGGCAGCCTAGAGCTGTCACCCACTTCTGCCTTCTCATCCCCATCTTCCTCCCTGCCCACCTGCCCGCCCGCCCCCAGCATTAACCTTGGGTAGAGGTTGGTAGTGGGCTGACTTGGTCCCTAGAGGGGATGGGCAGCCTGGGGTGGGGGGGCTGCGGTTGTTGTCATTTCCCAAACCCCCGGGTAATCAGGGGCCATCAATAATTCAGCACTAGGCAGCCGGTAATGGAGGGGTGGGAGGAGGGAAAGGAGAGGAAAGCAAAAGGGGGGTTGGCAGTGCAGGGGCCCTGGTGTCACTAGAGAGATAAGACCAAGGTGTATGTCTAAAAATGGGTGGGGTCTTAAACCCTAGTCACCTTATGGGGTCAGTGTCAGTCCTCCCTTCCTAGGCCCCAACTCAAGCAGGTACCAACCAGGTCTACAAGTAAGACTGAGCTTCCCCAAAGCCTCAACCCCAATCTGGAACGGAACAGAGGATTCTTCCCCTTGGGAACACAGGAATCAGGAGTTACTGTTCCCCCTCCAAATGCAGAAGTCGCTGTCCCTCCCAAGGGGGAACAAGCTCATAAGCCCTGGATCAAGGCAAACTGTGATGGTCGATGGCATTCCCTACTTTAGTCCCTGCCCCATTCAGAAATCCCAGCCTCAATCCAGCCAGAGGGGTTCCAGGTGCGTGACCTCCAGCTGTTCAGGGTGCTGGGCCCAGAGTCCAGCACCAGCAGCCTTGCTTTATTAAGCAGTGACAGGCCCTAATAAGCCCTTCCAAGGACCCCAGCATCCACTGCCCCTTTCTTCTCTTGGGAATCCAGGTGCTCATCCCATTATTCTCATCCTACTATAAAGAACCAAGGTTCCAGGATATCCCTTGGGGCCCAGAGCCTCTGGGAACACAAGTAACCTAGTCACCAGTTCCATATACCCTGGAACTCCCTCCAAAATCCTCCTGGCTCCCCTCAGGGCACAAAACTCCATGCTAGTCCCACCTCAGCTCCAATCTGGCTCCTAGTCCCAGAAAGGGGGATGAAGCCCCTAAGACATCAGTCTGGGGGTGGAGGGGTGTACTGACTTCCACCCTCCCCCCAAATTAAAGCCACCCTTCCCAGCCCACCAGCCCCAGCCTCCGTGTCCCGGTAACCAGGCAACGTGTGCAGCGACAGTCCTGGGAGCGGGGGAGCAGGAGGCTAAAAATAAACTTTGCAGAAGAGAGGGAGTGAGAGAGACTACATGCAACACAAAGGGAACTCGGAAAGGAGGTGGGGGGCTCTGGAAAGGCCTCAAGCCCGCATTCTGGGAGCTGTCCCAGACCCCCTTGTTAACCTCCTTCCCTGAGCAACACCACCCCCAGGGCCTAGCCCCTAGCTGCCACTTCTGGCAGAGATCCCCCTCCTCACGCCCAGGCCCACCCCAGCACCGGCTTTCCTCATCGGACACAGCATACACGAGGGCCTGTTCCCGAGGCTTTGGTGGTGGTGACGTCAGGGTATCTCAATGGGGCTCTGTTCCCCAGGCCCTGAAGCCAGGAGCCAGGCACGGGCAAGGGTAGCATGTGTGTGTTGTATTTGGGTCCACGTGCTGAAATCAAGGAAACACCGGGTCTGCGTCAAGAAAGCTTGAGGGTGCAGGACCTCTCCAGCATGGGGATCCAGTGAGGCAAGAAGAAAGCAACTGCACTGATAGGGGTCTTAAACCCTAGTCACCTTATGAGGTCACAGGGTGCAGAGTTGGTGGCAGACATGAAGGGCCAGGATGGCTGGGTCCCAGAAGGCACACCTGGATATCCTGGGTCGTGCAAGTCGGGGTGGGGGCATAACTCTGGGCACCACCATCCCCAACTTAACATGACTGTCTAAACTTTTTATAGGGGACTATAGGGGTCGGATGGGAGGAGTGGTGGCTGAGGAAGAATACGCCAGCCTCCCGGGGGGCCTCACCACCTCCCCCACTCCAGGCAGACCTCGATGGCGCCAGAGCCGGGAAGAAAACAGGAAGTGGGAAACAGCCACGGCGGAGGAGAGAAGCGCCGGGATGGAGGATCCGATGGAGGGGCGCGTAGTGGCCGGCAATCGCAAAGGCAGACGGACCTGGAGACCGTTCCGCAACCCGCCCCCTTCCCCAGTCAGTGAATCTACACACGACCCGGACCCCAGACAAGGCTGGAGTGGCCCTACAGGTCCCATCAAGCCAAGGCCCGTAGCAGAGAGGGAGGACAAGGCGGGGTTGTCTGGGCGCCTCGGTCCCCTCCCCAGGCGAGGCGAGGCTCCGGCTGCCCCCAGGGCCCAGCAGCCAGGGAGCCCGTGGGAGCCGGGGAGTATGTGGGACGCACGTGACTGACCCTACCACACTCCGCACCCCAGCCCC